AAAGATATAATTTTGTTTTCTATGGCCTCCATTGTTTCTGATAAGTCAGCCATCATTTTTTATTGTTGTTTACTCTATGTAATGTGTCTTTTTTCTTTGGCTTCTTTAAAGAATTTTCTCTCTATCTGGTTTTCAGTAGTTTGACTATGGTGTGCCTAGGTGTGTATGTGTGTGTGCGTGTGTGTGTGTGTGAGATGTTAGTTGGGATTTGCTGAGCTTGTTTTTTTTAAATTTTTAATTTTTATTGATCTTAGAGAGAGGAATGGAAGGAGAGAGAGAAACATCAATGTGAGAGAGAAACATCAATCAGTTGCCTCCCAAGCACGCCCCGACCAGGGGTCTAACCCACCATCTTTGGTGTACAAGACGATGCTACAGCCAACTGAGCCACGCCAGCCAGGGCTGCTGAACTTGTTTTTAATCAAATTTTGGAAATTGTCTTCAATTATTTTTCGGCCATATTCTCTCTCTTCTCTCCTCTGGGACTCAAAATACATGCATGTAAATCTAATTGCTCAATATTATCCCACAGGTCATTGAATCCCTGATCATATTTTTTCCAATCTTTTTTCTCTCTGTGCTTCATTTTGGGTAATTTCTATTGCCCTCTCTTCAAGGTAATGAATCTTTTCTTCTGCTGTATCTAATCTGCTGTTTTTCTTATTCAATGATTTTTTAAAATTTCAGATACTGTATTATTTCAGTACTAAGAATTGGGTTCATTTTTAGTTTTTATACCTCTTTTAAAATTCAAATTCTTGTGTCTTCACCCATTAAATATACTTTTCCTATAAATTCCTTAACATATTTATAATAAATCCTTGTTTGGTAATTTCAACATCTGAGCTGTCTCTGGGTCTGCTCCTATTAACTATTTTTTTCCTTTTGATAAGTGTCACGGTCTGCTTCTTCTTCACGTATTTTGTATTATTTGGCTGTATACCGGATATCATAGGTGGTAGTTATGGAAACTCTAGATTCTCTTATCTTCCTTTGAAGAGTATTGAATTTTGTTCTGGGATTTAGTTCAATTGCAGGCAGATCACCTTGATACTGGGAGGCTTGGTTTTAGGCCTAATTTAGTTTTGCCCTTTGTCATGAGAAATGGTCTTCAGTCCCAAGGTGTGACCCTCTTGGGTTTCAATGGAAAACTCCAGGTATTTTTACAAACTCTTCTAACTGGGTGGACCTTGAACTCTTAATCTGTTTCCCATTACTAGGAAATTACTGAAATCTCTGCTGAGTTCTTTTGACCTTCAGTTCTTGGCTCCTCGGAGTCACCCCACACATAAGATATGCGCTTTAGGACTCCAAACATGGATCCAAGGGGAGATTGTATGCCAATTTTGTGGCTCCCTCTTTTCCATGTTTTCCCTCCTCAATTTCCAGCCACTGTGGCAGCTGAACACTCTGATCGGTAACTTTCAGCCCAATGAGACTCTTGCTTTATGCTTAAGCTCTATTCCCTGTGTGCAGTGTGGACTTGAAAACGCCCTGAGAGGGAAAGCCAGTTAAATGTGGCTCTCACCTGGTCGGCTTCTCCTTTTAAGGGTTGTATCTACTCTAGTTGCCTGTTTAGCTTGTTTTTCAGTGCCTTCAAACAATTTTTATTTATTATTTTTTATTTATTTTAGGGAGGGAGGGAGAGGGAAAGAGAGAGAGAGAGAAACACCGATGTGAGAGAGAAACATCAACCAGCCCCTGCATGCCCCCTATTGGGGACTGAGTCCACAACTCGGGCATGTGCCCTGACTGGGAATCGAAGGGCAACTTCTTGGTGCATGGGACATCACTCAACCAACTGAACCACACCGGCCAGGGCATCTTCAAACAATTTTTTAAAAATATTTTTTTCGCCCAGCCGGGCGTGGCTCAGCGGTTGAGCATCGACCTAGGATCCAGGCGATCAGGGTTCGATTCCCAGTCAGGGCACATGCCCGGGTTGCGGGCTCGATCCCCAGTCGGGGGCGTGCAGGAGGCAGCCGATCAGTGACTCTTATCATTGATGTTTCTCTCTCTCTCCTCTCCTTTCCTCTCTCTGAAATCAATAAAGATATATTTAAAATATATATATATATATATATATTTTTTTCACCCTGGCAGGTGTGGCTCAGTTGGTTGGAGCGTCCTCCTATACACCAAAAGGTGGCGGGTTTGATTCCTGTTTGGGGCGCTTGTGGGAGGCAACCTACCAATGTTTTTCTCTCTCTCTCTCTCTTCTTCTAAAATCAGTTTTAAAAAAAGAAAGGAAAAAGTATTTTCCCCCACAGTTTACACTAGCTATTGGCAGGAATATTAGTCTGATACAAACTACTCTGCCATTTATTGCAAGCAGAACTCACCCAATTGTGTTATTATTATTTAAAATTTTGTTTTGGTGCCTTCTCCTCTGGATTATTAGACGCATAGTTAGTCTTCATATTGGGTAAGCCAATACTGGAGTCTGGTTGTCTGTTCTGAGAATTTACTTTATTTCAGTTTCACTAAACAATCCAGTACATCAGTTATTCTTAATGGCTATCAAAGTTTCAAAGGCTGGAAATTATTCTCTAATAGTGACATCTTCAATATTTAAGGATTAAAATAAACTTTAATCTACATTCTGAAATAGGCATTATATTGACATGGGTCAAACTTTAAAAGGTAAAAAGGAGCCCGGCCGGGTGTGGCTCAGCGGTTGAGAGTTGACCTAGGATCCAGGTGATCGGGGTTTGATTCCCGGTCAGGGCACAGGCCCGGGTTGCGGGCTCCATCCCCGGTTGGGGGCGTGCGGGAGGCAGCCGATCAGTGACTCTCTCATCACTGATGTTCCTCTCGCTCTCTCTCTTCCTCTCCCTTCCTCTCTCTGAAATCAATAAAGATATATTAAATAAATAAATAAATAAATAAATAAATAAATAAATAAAAGGTAAAAAGGATACACAATAAAAAATTCACTCCTCTTGCATGCTTTTAAAAAGATTGGCAGCTACATCTTTGATCTCTTACATTATACAAGCAAATTGGTTGTATCCTATATGTCATAACCCCATGAATTCCTTGACAAAGAGTGTTTTTTTGTTTGTTTGTTTGTTTTTAAATAAATGACATCCTCCGGCAAGAATCATTACCCAAGAAGGCATCAATTCCATTTAATTCTGTAAACATTTACTGAGCCATGCAGTGTGCCCGGAACAATGTTAGCTATTGTGCAGCAGAAACATGAGTCATATGGTTGAGAGTGCACTTCTGTTAATTAGAAAGGAGAAGAGAGGAGAATTAAGGACTATTTGTAAAGAAATCTGATTCCTTCTACTTGACCCAGTTGGAAGAGTTGATAGAAAAAAGTCCCGCCTATGTTCAGCTGACACCTGGACTTAAGGTTATATTCTTGGCCCTGTCTCTCTAACATGGTATCTCTCCAGGTCAGCAGCTGCCCTGTTTACAGCCAAGCTCAGTGCAGGGTCCAAGAACCTTGCCGTAAGCTTGGTACCTAGTTCATAGTTCTTGGGGACAGGAAAAAGCTAAGTCAAGCCTCTGCATCAAGAATATTGAACTAGCTACAATTTACAACTGAAAGGGTGCTCAAAGGGCTCAGTGTTCTCCTGCCGTGTCTGAAAGGGCTGGATCCCCTTCCCAACGGCTGAAAAAACATGGAGTGTCCACAGCCGATGTACTGAAAAGACACTGGAAGCTGAGCAAACCTAGAGAGGCAGCAAGCATAGTCTGCACACTCCTTGTGTGGCCACACCTTCAGGTTCCCACAAGGGCTTGGGTAGGCTAGGCAGGGTCATGAGTACACCGTGGGAGGGACAGAATGGTAGGCCTATAGTGTTAGCTAGGAATTTGGGAGTACTGCTGAGGAGTTTCAGATCACATACACTCTACCTGTGACCTGCTCCTGCCCAGAAAATAAAACTTGTGCATCTTCCACGCTGCCTTTTCCGTTGGAACTCAAGATAGGGCTTGGGATCTCTGGCTACCACAGGGAAGCAGGCCATGCCATTTTGCTTTGCTGCAGGTGGCAAGTCTACTTAGAGGGCTTTTGACATTTTCATCTGGTCCTCCATTCAAATGCTCAAAAGAAAAATTAATTTATAGGCACCCACGTATGTTTAAATTCCCTCGTAGCCCCGTGAAAAAGGTAAAAAGAAATAGTTGCCATTAATTTTTAATATTTTAATTAACTCAATATATCTAAAGTATTTTAATATGTAATCGATATAAAAATTGATGAGAGCCCAGCAGGGCGTGGCTCAGCGGTTGAGCGTCAACCTGGGATCCAAGAGGTCAGGGTTCGATTCCCGGTCAGGGCACATGCCGGGGTTGCAGGTTCCATCCCCAGTCCGGGTGTGCAGGAGGCAGCCAATCAGTGACTCTCTCATCATTTATGTTTCTCTCTCTTCCTCTCCCTTCCTGTCTCTGAAGTCAATAAAGATATATTTTTTTAAAAAATTGATGAGATAGTTTACCTTTTTTCTTGGTATTAAAGATCTGGTCTGTATTTTACACTGACAGCACATCTCAATTCAGGCTAGCCACATTTCAAGTGCTTGAGAGCCACATGTGGATAGACTGGGCAGTGTAGGCCTAGAGTGTGGGTCACAGTGACGCCTTCAGGGTCCCCTACACATGCAGACAACACACCCTCTGGACCAAATTCTAGGAAAGCACAAAGGATGATATGGGTAGAAGGGGGTTCAGAATGGGGTCAGAGGTGCGTTTTACTGATTAAGCTAACTGAGTCACAAAGGGGCGGGGAACCCTGCGTAAGGTCTAGAAGGCCAAAGGGACCATTTGGAACATGCGGCTATGCAGGAGGTATGGGAACTCGGTGGAGAGCCGCATCCCGCCACGC